GTGCCCGCTGGCTTATTTATAGCGCCGCTGGCCAGCGGCGGTTTGCGAAATTGGGGCCTGCAGTGACCCCCCGCAGCACGGAAAGGAAACCGCGCGTGTTTTTTTGCCTCTCGGATGGGAGGACGAACGGGAGAATCATGGGTTCCGCTCCCCGTAATGACAATATTCGGTCTGCCGCACGGAGGGCTGTCTGGCCTTTCCCTTTCATAACGGTCCTGCGGCGAGACTGCGGCCCGAGGGCACAGGAACCAGGGCAGCAACCGCTGCTTTGATTTCTCTATTTATTTTCTTTTTCCTTTATTGGAGGCCATGCAGTATCTCGGAGAGTCAACGTGGCATGGCGGCCTGCCAGAGAGCCAGCACTCCCTTTCCAGTGAGCGAAGGGAAATGGCAGGGGAGAGTGTGCTGCGCGGGGGGCTCGTAGCCCACCTCGCCCCCCGAAGCCGTTTTATTGCGCCTGAGATGTATGAAGCTACGAACAATGCTTGCCTGTTCATAAAATATAGCTCTGTCTTGACAAGCTCAGGTTCCCTTTGTGCCGAAAATAAGTGTTTTCAGGCCTCATTTCCCATGCGTGAGGTTTAATGTTAAGTGTGTTGGATTTAAAAACCGTAGATGATTTGGCATAATTACAGCATTCATGCTTAGCTAGACCCCCACTTAGTCCTTAAGTCAGCAGATGTGACCTGTTGCATTAAGAAAAAGACAGCAGATGCACTGCATTGCCGAGTCTTCTAACAAAATATAAGCTAAAGCTAAAACTTCCAGGATTTTGGAGGTGTAGTTTAGCCCAGAAATTGCTGTTTACCAGCAATTACCAGTAAAAATATTAAAATATAGTACATTTTATGCCAAATAAAGGGTTTATACTACTATAAGAACAGTTAATCTCTTTTGTTTATGGATTAGAATGCCTGGTTATTTTTTTTGACAAATTATGCTTGACACATATGGTGGCAATCTCACTGTTGGCATTTTCAGCCTTTTTCCGTAAACCTCATAATGGTAAATTAAAATATTTTTTAATTTATGTAGAGACATACTAATAATGCACAACATCATTGGCTTCTGCAAATGTGTAGCTGTTACAAAAGCAGTATTTTTTTCTAATTAATTTACAAACTATCTGCAATCCACAGGCTTCTCCCATTAAAGCAAAGGAATTGATGCTCAGATTTTATTTACTTGGTAAACTTGTTTTTAATACTTAAATACTTATTTCCAGGCAATGGGAATATGATTTTTGTGATAGAATGATCGACGCATTTTTACTTCTATCATTTTTACTTCTATCTATCTCATGTATCCTTGTCTTGCATATAAAGTATAGATACAATAAGATCACTTTATTAGCCATATACAGTTTCTTGCATTAGGAATTCATCTTTCTGCATACCCCAACTTGATTTCCAAGAGATACACAGACAAGGCGATAAACTTGGGGTCAGAGCATAGGGTCAGCCATTGTACAGCGCTCCTGGAGCAGTTGGGGTTAAGGGCCTTGCTCAGGGGCCCAATAGAGTAGGATTGCCCTGCTGGCTGCGGGATTTTAACCGGCAACCTTCCAGCCACAGTCGCAGATCCTTAGCCACAGTGCCACCGCGAGTTTTATTGTTAAAAAATATCAAGAACAAAATTTCGTGAGCTAAAGAGCAATGTTAGATTTGTGTTAATAAAGGTTTAAGAAATATTCTGAAAAATGGTCAGTTTGCTCTATGTGATTTTCTGAAGAATTTTAGCAAGCCATCAGTAGTTTCATAGCACCAGTAGTGCCTGTTAAGTTATTGTCAGAGCTAATAGTTGCACATTAGTGACGAAAATGTGGATAATTTATCATTCCACAAAACCTGTTGATGGTAGATTGGTCGTTAATAGCAGATCTATCAAACCCTTATTAATGTACTTTAATTTAAGGGCAATTGAGCTACTTCTCAGCATTTACAGAATATCATACAGTCAAGCATTTGGGATTTAGAATATACTGTTACTAGTGCGGGGACATCCAGATCTGCCTGAGAGGTTTTACAAAAGCAGAGCAGAACTTTGCACCAGAGGCTTTGCAAGGCCAAAATTGACAGTTCTTACTTGCCAAAGAACCCCGTCGGCCTGAAATGAACCCAGCGTTTTCACCAGTATCGGGTTCCACAGCAGAACCAGAAAATCTTCTCTGGTAAACCACTGGAGTTGTTTATGAAGGTTGGAAATATTGTGTTACCAACACGACGTCAGCTGATCAGTAGAGATACCATTGCATGTAGTCACTGGTCCCGAAGGATTTTGAAATCCAAATGTTAAATGGTGCGTGTGGAAAATGAATTTACAAGGATGAAGGATGTGAAGGATGTAACACAGCTTGGACTTTGCCCAGATCATGTCAAAAGTTCTTCCTACTTTTAACATCCCACAGACCACCCATGAATCTACCCCTCCAGCAGGAGCATTTCATGCCTTTTCATACACTTGTCTAAACGCCAGTCACACAGCACCTCAGAATAAGCTGTTTTATCTGGTTTATGTTATTGCTGAAGGGATTACAGAGCAAGCGAAGCTGTACCATACAGCTGCCTATGGTGTTAATGTGTGCTGGAGCAGTATTATGATAATGATGCAAGAAACATTTATACGCCTCTTTATAGACGGATAATTGTGACACTGCGGAGTGGGAGGAACCACGGTGAGCACCGGTTAAAAGTCAACGCCCCGAGCGAGGGAACAGAAGCACTGGTGTGAGGTTAGCAGGGACCAAAAATAATACAAAAAGAGTGGGGAAAAATAAACAAAAAGGCAAAAAGAAAGTGTACCGCTGTGCCTCATGAGCTCCAGGCTGGGCTTACACTATTTAACAGGGTCCGGCCTGGGAAAAAAAGAACCGCCAGCACAGTGGCAACCAGACTTGTCTCACCCTATTTAGTGGCGTCCAGTCGGGTTGATCCAGGCGCGCAAGGCGAGAACAAAACAAGAACTTAGCGTGTAAAAAAAAAAAAACTGCGCGCGTGCCTGCCCCGGTGAAAGTGTGTGATGGGACAGGCAAAAAGAAGAAAAAACCTTACACGGGTGTAAGCTCCCCCCTTCCGGGGGTGGCCCTGCTCGTCCCGTCAGGGGGTGTCCAGTGTGCCTTTATAGGACCTGCCCAGCTGTGGCCCTTCGTCTAGAAGCCGGGACAGCTGGGACTCCAAAGGCGAGGCTCCGCCCTTCTACCAGGGCTCCGCCTCCACACTGGACACGCCCCTGCGTAATGCCACATAATCTTACTTCTTTGTAGATATTTTTGGTATCCATGGTTTTATAGGTGCTTTTATTGTCTTTTCATGTATTTCACACTCTATAATTATCCATTTAAGGCATGGTTACACAATTTTATGCCCGTTTTATTCTTTACCGATGGAAGGACCCAATACAGTTCTCAAATCTGGGTTTCATGTTTTGGAGCATATATCTGGTGCCTGAAGTTAAGAAACCTTTTGCCGTTTCTTGAACTGATGCAGTTTTGTGAGGGGTTAAACAAAAATGTCTAAACAACTAATGGAGAGTTTTGTCCCAATTTTGATTTTTAACTTTTGAGAGTTCTAAGTAGTCTGTGTCTAGTCCATTGTTTGAGTGCATTCTTATTACTAAATATAGATTTCAATTGAAGAGATTATGAAACAGACATTTTTTTTCCCCTTGGCACATAAAACACAAGCCAATGACTTGTCTTACCCTTTTAAGTTGAAAACTGGCATTTCAGTTTTAATTTGCACTGTATAGTTTAAATGTCTAATGTCATTCAGATTGTTTAGTGTAACTGGTGGAGTAGGGAATCTGGTTGGGACTTGTTAGTAAATGTTAGTAAATCAAGTTTTACTAATGTTAGTAAATTTACTAACATATTTACTAAATATGAGGCAATAAGGTGAAAGCTAAAAAGGAAAGTCAGACAAAATTCAAGACTGGACTGACACCAAGCAGATAACATTTACTGTAGATAAGAGTCCAGTGCAGGGCAAAATGAGCTTTAGATGGTGGAAATAGGAGCTAAAAGAAATAATTAGTGAAAAAGACTGAGATGTCTGTGGTGACATGTTCGACAACGTCAGCCTGTTAGATTTCTTCAGAACCAGCACTCTAGCACAAACCAGAGAGTAGAAGTGAAAGCTTGCAGGGCTGTGTACTAGAACTGAGATCAGGAGACAAAAGTTTTTCTTCTGCAAAAGGTTGTGGGAATGTAGAACAAGCTCCCCAGTACTAGCCAGTTACTATCAATAAAGAGTGCTAGATGGGCCAAATGACCTTCTCATTTGTAACCTTTCCTATAAATAAAACCCAGCATACATCAGAAAGTTAAAGTCTTTACAAATCATATTTACAAAATCAGACATTTTCTTTAGGGGGGCGGGGGGAGTGATGGCTGTGAAAACATCTTTTCATACCAGCAGTACAAAAAATAAAATTGGCCAGAGAAGCACTGCTTTGTAGCACATAGTTGGAAATAACTTTTCTGGGTCATCTGTCTTTGATTAGCATGTTTGGACAATAATAGTTGTTGTGAAAACTAGAACTGTACTTATGATTTCACCAGACGACAGCAGTTACAAATGTTCAGCATTTTCCCTTTTTTCGAGATGCCACCCAAGAGTTTATCAACAGTTTAATAGTTTTACAATCAGGCGGTCCGCAAGCGCTCATTGCTAGTAAGCATGTGTTCTGCCTAAGCTCTCCCACTACTCCTACAGACATTCTTATGGATGTGGCTGTCCAGCTGTTGTGCTGGGCAAGTTTCCCATGGTAATAGGAGAGTTTTTAAGGGATGTTAAAGAAGAGCGATGTCTATCCATTCCTTGATGTTTGAGCTAGTATTATTGAACTTATCTTTTATGTCTTTGACCTTATGTGTTTTTTTAATTAATTTCTGTTTATATTTCCTTATGGAATGTTGATTGTTCCCTCCATATACGTTCAGCAATACTTTTGTTGGAGAGGGCTAAATATAAACAACTTTTTTTTTTTTACCTTTCTGATAGATGCAAAACCGAATGGCTGTCCTCCTGTGCAATCTGAAGCCGGCGAAGATGAGGGGGGTTTTGTCCCAAGCCATGGTGATGTGTGCTAGCTCACCAGACAAAGTGGAAATCCTTGACCCACCCAGTGGAGCTGCTCCAGGGGACAGAATCACCTTTGATGGCTTCCCCGGTTTGTACCCTTTTCATTTGACACTTTATATCGTGTGATCCTTAATCGTATTCAAGCACAACGTCCGTATTTGCCCCACCTTTTCTTCTCAGTTCTTCCAAAAATTCACCTTGCTCAAAAATAAGGATTACGAGTTTTTAGCTTTCCTCTGCACTTTTTTTGGATGTCATGGCGTTGGATGTGAATAAACTCCTGATTCTACTAGGAAAACTTGTTAGTTCTGTCCTGTACGTAACATTGGCTATAAACGGAATTGGTATATTGCAAATATTTGCCCCATGCAAGGTGATCGCACTCTGCACTGTGGATGATTTCAGAGATCCCTGCCCTTTACTAGCATGTAACTTGTGTGATGGACCCCCTGAAAGCATGATTTGCTGGGACATTTTAAGTAGAGATTTTGTCAAGCGTAGACTAACCAAGAACATAATTTAGCACATGGAGTGTTCATACACAAATTCTGTTTTGTGTTTACAATCTGTCGCTGAAGTAGCACCCTCTTCATACGCGTGTTCCTTTGCACAAACAGGCTGACGGACATTCCTTCAGAAAAATCTTAGAGTACTAAAGCTGAAATTGATTAGTCTCTGAGGCCCAGATCACACTCTGAAGTCTTACAAATGTACTTGCATAATATATTGCGGCTTTCAGATTGTGGAAAATTCCTTGACAGAGGGCTGGAATAGAAACCAAAGCACAAATGAGGGCAAGGTAGCAAGGTCTTGGAATATTATACTTTGATCTTAAAAACACATATATATCCATGCAGTTTTTCATGTAAGGTTTCCTACACATATTTTCATGATTTAAACAATTACAGTTGAGTTGTCATGAGTTAATTGAAACCATAACGTGGGCTAGAATGGACCTTGGGCCTGCGCTTATTTTTTGTATATGGTTGATTTTCAGTTTCCAGCTCTGAGAAGAGGGTGATGCATTTTACAATGCGGATATTTTATGTGCTTTGTTATTTCTGTGATGTGAAGCCCTGTGTTCTCTGACTAAGAAAAGCCCGCCCACCCGTTGTTGCATTTGGACATTTGTGCAGTGCTGCTTAGGAAATCCCAGTGGGCTGTTAAAGCTGCAATATCTAGATTGTATGGCTCGAGGTGTGCTCTGGCCAAGAAACGTGCACTTGTTGATCCTCCCAGGAACCCAAGCAATTTGACAAACCCTGTAGCTAACTTTGTAATATGATTGGCTTAGGAGTGGAGTTTGGAGGACAGTGTCAGTGTGAAAATATAAAGCTTTGTTCATTGTTCCTAGCTTTCCCAAAACATGGGATTTCTGATGACATCAGAGGTTGAAGTCCCTTCTTGTTTTTAAAAAGCATCTACAGTACGTTTTTCCTTCGCTGATTTTGCGAGCCCTACCAGAAGATGTTTGTTTTCAAAGGGATCTCTAGCCAAAACAATTTTACAACTTCTGCTCCATTGAAGCCATTTTCAGATTGGCCACGGAAGCATGGAAAAACTGTCTCATTTCCAGCTGTTCTTTGAACTGCTTGATCATAAAACTCGGTTATGACTGTGTATTCTCTCAACAGGATGTTTACAGCAAGGCTCAGGAGAGACTCGGGACTTTTTGTATTCAGTTGACTTTTTCTAATTCTACAGATCTGGAGCGAGGAAGTTGATGCAAAATACAAATACTTTGAAGTAAAAATAACCTGAGAGAGATATGAAAGCATGACATTTTTTTTGCTGTGGTACCAAACTCTGCCTTACATGAAGGTACCAACACATGTCACGTTACTAAACCTGGTCTTCCAAGCTGGACTACAGCCCAGTCATGGCACAGTATTTTTCAGGATGTGCCAAAAATAAGATTGCTGGAAAAACTGGCATGGATCAACTAAAGATTGCCAAACTCAGTGAGATGGGTTAGGATGATGATCGACGAAATATGAATCTAAGGGCTCCTTTACCTCTTGTGAAGACACTGAAATGCCTGTTCTGGTCCTGATGAGAATGGCATTCAACACTGAAACGTGGTGTTGCCTAAATATATGCGTGTATTAATTATCCTCATCTTTCAGAGAAGTGATTGTTCTGCATTTCTTTTTTAAAGGCGAGCCCGACAAGGAGCTGAACCCCAAGAAGAAAGTGTGGGAGCAGGTTCAGCCGGACTTGCGCACCGATGGTCAGTGTGTGGCGGTGTACAAGGGAGCTCCTTTTGAAGTCAAAGGCAAAGGAGTCTGCAAAGCTCAGACCATGAGCAACAGTGGGATCAAATAAAGCCTGGAGCTCGGGTCCCGACTTGAAAAGAGAAAAACACTGACGGTCATGTAGAAGGAGTGCAGTCTGGTCAGTGATGGACGAATGTAGCACAATAAAGGCTTTGAAACGGATCATCAGTGATGGTTTTCATTTCTTAATCGAACCGTTTTAATCTAAACCTGCAACAGGTGACAGTGTGGGGTTGTGGTTAGGGCTCTGTACTAGAAGGGTGTGGGTTCAAGTCCTAGATATGCACGGCTGATGTGCCCTTAAGCAAGGTCATTCACTCACAAAGATCAAGTAAAATACCTGGCTGTGTAAATGGAAGACAAATGTAAGTCACTAGGGATGAAAGCAGCAGCCAAAGAAATACGTAATTATTAAAAATTATTCTTGACATTTTGTTGTGCTGCTTTGATGAGCAGAAAGAAATGTAAATACAATACTTGCACATCTGCGAACGACCCCATGAGATGGGATTTCCTATGGTTATGTTTGACAGCTGTTCAAGGTTCTCGATGAATTCCAGTTGTTTTCTAAACAAATCTGGTATGTCTTTGGGAAAATCCTGTATGGTAGCTGTAATAGAGAGATTTGAGATGTATTTCCTTCTTTGAAACCTGGTTTGAGGAGGCGTTTTTGTAAATTAAAGTCAGAGCCATAATTTTCCCCTTTGTTCATATAATTTTTTGAGTGTGTCTTGACTGTAATGCTGTGCTCATAAAGTTACCAGTGAAAAGGTTCAACCGTTTAAGAGAAATTGTAATCCTCTTGCTCTGTTGCTCTGTGAAGCATTTTATCAAATCAGATTGTCTAGAGCAAAAGACTCTGGGCCGGGAGGAGGCCATATCCTGCTTGCACCTTATTAATTTCTGGCTACATTATTTTTCACTTGCTTAAGTTTGTTTTGCTCCTAAGCAACCTCTTGAACTTGAGTTTAAAATTACTTTCCCAGCTACTTTATAATTCGCTTTGGCCCTTTGGTTTAATTTCACCCTAGGAATTAATGTGTTCATCTTTAAATGTTTAATTGCATCAGTAGTAATGACGTAACTGCAGAAAGTCTGCAACATGGTTAAGAGCTCTTACAGAGTGGATTTAAAATGCTGCCAAATCCTGCTGTGTTCTTCCTTCAGTATTTATACTTTTAGAAATCTTGTGTGCAATGTAATGCACCTTGTATTGATATACACTTAGTATGATCTAACCCATACACTCCTGTTTGTTCTAATTTGAAATGGGAAGTGTTGCTTTTTAAGTAACTTTCTAAAATATTAATACTAATAATATGGAAAATTCGAATTTTACCTAAACATTTTTCATGTCAAAATGAAATTGATCAATACAAAAAAAATCACCACAGCATTTTAAAATATGAATATTCAGCCAGGTTTATTTGTAAGCCAAGGACAACACCTAGGTTTGTATCAAGAATTGAGTTAACATTCGTATGTTGAGTTTAAGTACTTTTCCAAGCCAAACCAGCATACCACATTTATTGACAGGGAACAGTTGGAAGTAAATTTCAGTCTAATGAGAAACATGCCTGGATACTTGGGCTGGATTACTCCCCCAACCCGCATACTCAGAAGGAAAGTGAATATCAGATATGTGGAGAAATGTTCTGTGATGTCAGGATAGCTTGAAACTAAATTGACTTAAAAAACACAATCGGATCACGCGTTTAGCAATATACAGAAGGAGATATCTTTAAATGTGGATTCTTTAGACCGCAAGGTTTCATTGCTTGAAAGTGGTGCTCACAGCGTTCCATTTATGGTGATGAGTAGTGATAGGAAAAAGTCCTTCTAGGGTGTCATTTTTAATTTAAGGTTGGCTTTGATAGAGAGGTTGGAATGATGTTTACCAATTTAAGATGGGCATACCTGACTGATTTATTGCAAGTTGCCTTTCCCTTTGAATGGCGTGTTAACTTAACTAGTTTTGTTATACTTGGATACATCAAGACTCAAATCCCACACCTCATTATTCATTTCTCACTTTCAGTAAGGACTGGTTGTTTATGTACCTTTTTCTGGCACCACGAATTCTTGATTCTGACCGCAAGCAATCGCTGTGTCAGGGTTTAGGGAAACTAAAAACTTAAAAGGGAGTTCTCTGTGTTTGTTTTGCCCTGAGAGTTTGGCCAGTTTCTCCAAAATCGGTCTTCTTTCTTCCTGGAGCCAGCCCATAGAGTTGTCCACAAAGTGATGCCTGCTCTCCACGGAGTCCAGCAGAGTCCTTAGGGTACCAGAGGCCTGTTTTAAGTGCTCCTCCTCTTGGACTCCAGCTTTCTGCAGCGCATCCCGGTGGGTGATGAGTAATAAACCATGATTCTTCCAATCTGATCCGAAAAGATCCTACAATAACAACAGAGGCTTAGCTGCAACACGAATTTGATTTGTTTTGTTTTTTCCCCCGATTCTAACAGCCACCTCCAAGCAGGAACCTGCTCTCCTATTACCTGGTTCACACTGAACCAGGTCTCTACATCTCATTTAGACAGATTGACACATTGTATGCTACATCTGGCCTTTAAAGTCAGACACAGTTCGAAGAAATTTTAAATATCAAAGTACTAAAGAAATGATATCCCTTGCAATTCAAGGATCAATGCCACTTGTGTGCTATATGAAAATCACAAGTAAAGTTTTGGTGATTTAAAAACATGTAAAATGAAAATATTACATCTGCATCTCTGATCTCCAGATTCAGTTGTAGATTCATGTTCATAAATCATCACATACAAAAATCCCAAATTTGAAAAAGCACACAAGAATGTAATATCTTAAATCTCCAGATACAGGTGATCCAAGTTAGAATCTTCAGTGCATCTTGGGAAAAATGACATTGGAGGCATTTAAATCTAGATTTGTCAGTGTGCCCAAAGGTAGGTCTTATTAGACTGCTATTTTGTTCTATTTAACAACATATGTCCAAAATGTTATAAATAAGACCAGGAAATGTTGGGATCATGGATGTGCAGTACACTGTGACAGTTGAAATAGCTGTCCCTCTTTGGGGTTAAATTCTCCAGTAATTACAGGGAGATTTCAGATCTTTCAAATTGCTTGAATATCTGTTAAATACCAGCTACCCTGGACATAAGCCAAATTGCAATGTTACAAAACGCAATCAGATACATGTAGAAATACCAACATATCCCATAAAGCTTACACATCTAGAGCTCTCCGAGTTCTGGAGAAAAGTGAAAAGTGCTTAAAATATATTTTCCAGGTGAGGTTTTTTGGAAAGAGTGAAGTTAGTGAAGACTAGCCAGAATATGGATAACTATGTCACTGAAATCTGACAAAGGACTGTGGAATCTGTTTCTTATTATCTTCTCCCAGATAGTAAACACCTTTCTGTTTTATTGTTACTCCAAATGTGAGATGTACAAGGTTTTCATTAACAATCTAAGAATTTGAACAATTTCTGCATACCTGAACCTTTCAATGTCATTTGATGTTCAGAGACAGAAAATGGAAAAAAAGTGGTTTTGTGAGAGTTTAAAACATATTTAATGATAGGCATCATAAAATCTGCTCAGTTTGGGGCTTGCTTTCTGAAATCTTTTGAAAATGTTTTTCTGTAGAGTTATTAAATTAGTTTAAGTCAAAAGTGGCAACATATGTTGATAGGAAGTTTCTGAGGCATTGCAATTGATTGTGCATTTCCAAGGGTTACATTTTTAAATTAAACACAGAAAATTATTGTTTCTTTAAATACGATGTTTGACTTGTATTCAGTATTTTATTGAATATATATATAAACATGTATTAGAATATACTAGCTAGACTATGCAAGTGACCAGACCAGAGGCAGTATGAATTATGTTTATCTCATCTGACCCCCAGCCTTGAAAGATGGTTGCAATTAGCTGTTATCTTGAAGTTATGGGTTTCTAAAATTATAGGTTTAATACTTTGTCATAAACATGTCATTTCTGGCGAACAGTTTTTTCTTCTGAAGAATTTTACTTACAAGCAGAGAGCAGGTCACTTTTTCTTCAAACGTCCTTGCAATATATTCTCACAGACCTCACACATTGATATACAGTAGTAAGTTCAGAAAGAAGTACACCATCCCAGTCTGATAAACATGCACATTAGTAAAGTAGCCACCATATTTTCTGCTGAGATGAACTTTCTTCCTTCCCAAGCCTCTGATACACTACAAGGTCATATGGTAGCATGTTCAGTCCACACAGTTCAAATAGTACCTCTTTCTTCATTCAAAATAATGGTAAAACTGTGGTAAAACGCAGAGATGTCCCAAAGCATGATGCCAACTGATGGGAGCCAAGACAAAGCATGGTAAAAATGTGGAAAAGGTACAAAATTACTCTGCAGATTTACTGTGGTAAAAATATAGGGGAGCTAACAGTATACTCAGCAACATAAATCCTTAAGTGAGTATGTATATAAAGGGGCTGGGGCTCAAAAATAGTGTTTTCTATTTTTTTTTTTAAACGCAGTCTCTAAATTTTCTTTATAGTTTTCAGATCTTTCAGTCCAATAACTGTCACGTCCATTATGTCCATTTCATCAAGCTTTGGCAAAAGGTCCAAGCCAGACAGACAGCTCTTCTAAGGACCAAAAGCCAGTATTAAAAGCCTTTTATCTGGAAAATGTCTACATAGTGTTGCGGTCCTTTGTTGGAGTGTTATGTTTTTTTCTAAATGCTTTCTCCTCTTTTCCCAGGTGTTGCCAATTAATTAAGTAGATGAGGTGGGAGCATTTAAAAGGGGAAGCTGAGACTACAAACAGGGGGGCCTGAGAGATCGGATATGGGGAACAGAGATGGTTGAGCGGTGTGTGGTTTTTGGGATGGGGTAAGACGTGCTGTGTGTTTCTTTTTGTTTTCTGGTTTTCTTCTGGTTCCCTGGATTCGGGATGATAATACTGTAGCACATACGGCCGCCTTTGCAGGTTGTTCGAGCCGGTCCTTCCCGCCCTTCCCTGTGAATAGCAGGGACCACAGCCGTCGAGCTGACGGGAGACTTCCCTTTAGCTCAACTGGCTGGGTGCCTGTTGAGTGATGCCGGAGGTCCGGGTTAGAGTCCCCAGCGGTGGGGGGCCGACCTGTGGTGGCAGCGGCGAGGGCGCTCCACGTGAACCCGGGAGCGCTACTTCGTTGTCAGGAGCGGGATGGGATAGCCCTTCGCCGAGGACGGCGGATTAAGCAGGGGAGAGTGTAACGCATACGACCAACATTGCAGGTTGTTCGAGCCGGCTTACCAGCGCGGTGACGTCACCACCCTTCCCTGTGAATAGCAGGGACCACAGCCGTCGGGGTGACAGGAGATTTCCCTTTAGCTCAACTGGCTGGGTCCCTGTTGAGTGACGCCGGAGGCCCGGGTTCGAGTCCCCAGTGGTGGGTGGCCGACCTGAGGCAGCAGTGGCGAGGGCGTATACCCACGTGAACCCGAGAGCTACTATACAGTTAGTTTGTTTTCCCAGGAGAATCCGATCTCTCAGGTGTTCTTTTTATGTTAGGGCTTTTGGTCAAACCCTAGACATATTTTTAAGGTCGTAACAATAGCACTTACGTCTTAATGTTAGACATTTAAAAACCTGTCATGATGAAGTGAATGCAAATTAAAAAACAGGCACATTACTTAAACTGCTGAGACAACAACATGATGTCTTACGTTATGTTATTCAGAGCTCTCACAAAAGAAAATGTAGATATATGTTATATGTAATTAATACCAATGCAGCTTAGAAGCTTACAGCTTAGGCAATTACAACCAGCCTATAGGACTGGGATGGTAATGTAATATTGCTGTCTTAATGGAAAAGCCACTATCCTGTGCATTAAACCTCAGGTAAACACAAATTGCTGACTGTTGGCAGAATAAATCTTAGATTCCTTAAACGGTGGACTCATTTGCAGTACTTTTTGTAGCATACATAGAAAAATGGTTTACATTTTTTTTAAACCTGGAAGTAATCAAGTAGTATTAAGACAATATTAAAGTGGGTTGTTTGCAAGTTGCATAACCAGGAGCTTTTTTCCAGATGGCATTTTTGACTGTCCTTCAGAATAACCTTGCCAGCTTTTGTACAAGAACTGTATTGAAGGAACCGGACAGAGCTAATCAATAAAGGAAGATATTTAATTGATTTACTTGTGAAATATTCTTGAGCATGATCCGTTTGAGAATCTTGCCCAGCAATCTCAATCAATTTCTCCATAGATATGGACCTAGGTATACGAACAAGAGGTTTCTGCAAGCCCTTCTCCTGTGGTTTCTACTGAATTGTGAAAAAGCTTCGATCCACGCTGGATCTTTAACCCTTGCTCTGTAAGTGGTAGTAGCAACGTGTAGTAATCCAATTCATGCCATGTCATGTTGTTGGGAGGAGGCTCTCCTTACCTCAGCCAACTGGAGAAACTGACAGTCCTCCTCGCACAGTGGGACGTCGGCCCTGACCACAAGCAGCAACACATGTACTCCGTCACGCAGTTTCAGCCGGAGAGCGTCCCGGACAGCTTGTTTCACTTCCTGCCGGCTCAGGAGACTGTTGGGGTAGGCTGGGGTATCCAGCACCCTGAGGCGCAAGGCCGTCTCTCTGCCCTGGCGCCGCATGAAGCTGTGGAAGGTCCTGCAACACAGCTGGCAGCCCTGGGTCACGGGGCCCAAGGAGAGCCGGCTCTCAAACTCGTGGCTCCCCAGGAGTGTGTTTCCTGTCGCACTCTTCCCACATTGAGGTCTCCCCAGCAGGAGGACTGTGAGGGTCAGCGCATCTAAATCCGCCATCTTCATCAAGACATCTGAGAATTGACCACTAATCTTGCACTGTTATACATGCAGTATGCCTATTGATCCAAAATACAGAAATATACATTGACGTGAGTATCATTCTTGCTTCATTTGTACATAAACTTAATTACACAAGTAAAAACCCCTCTGTTTTAAGTACATCAGTACATCCAGTCTTTCCCGTATTTATGTATATATACATTATTTCCTTTTTCAAGCTTTGATCTCCAACATTATCCAAGTATACAAGTTATATCAAAATAGAAAGGTTATAAAGAACATTTACAGTCCGAGAGGCTTGACACATGAGAATAATGAACCAGTGCTTACCTTCTCTGAATGAAAATAGGGAAGTATTTATCTGACTTTGAAACATTGTTTGTTCAGTGCCTGAGAGAGATAGTTCCCCACTGTTTGTTTTAGTTACAGTTTGACTAAATTATCTGCGGAGTGACAGTGGCCTGTAAGTGTCAGTACAGCAGCTCCACTTGTTTATGGTTCTTACCCTTCATGGAGAAAGTCCAAAGGTAGAAACTTCTCCAGTATTTCATTGTTGAGTCACCTGTGTGGGCTTTCCCAGTTCAAGAAGGCCATGTTGTGTCAACTAATTATATTATACCTTTTGTTTTAGCATTCAGAAACATTTGCTTTACCAGGACAAATTATTCTTTTCACCACAATCTGGAATGTCTGCCAGTTACTTAGTATATGGCTCCCTTATCTCTTTCTCAATAATTAAAATAAATCGAAAAGCATTCCAAAATGTAACACATCTGTAACTGTATGTAGTTACAAATGCACTGAGACACGTGCAAAACACAAATACTAAATTCAGAGTGTAACTGCAAATATTTAAATGTACACTATGTACATAGATTATACATACATAGTAAATTAGGAGTGTAAGACGCAGAGAAACATGAGCCTTTGTCTCATCACAAAGAAGGAGTCAATAATGATTCAGGTTATAGACTAGCCTACAAACTGTACAGTATAGGTTGTCCAATGAACATAAATAACTAAATATGTATCTGCGATAGGTCTTGAGTATTTTGCTCAAGTAAGATGCAAAAGCACTTTTAATAATATCATTATTTTTACCATGTACAGGATTCCATTTTTACACTGGGGTGGTTTGTGAATATGCTGAAGTTGTTCTTAGATCCCACTAGTATTAGTTTTTCATGTTGTCCCTCAGTTTGGGGCACATTTATGATGGAACAGAAAAAGTTTGAATAAATAACATCATATTTGTAATGTTGTTGCTCTGGTGCTTATAAAAGCTCATATAGACTGGAAAGAAACCCAGAATCAGGGTTTTGGAGTTAAATTAACTTTATTACCATTATTTACAATGCCAAATGTATCCTGGCAAACTATTTGACAGGGTTTTAGTGCTGATCCAAGAGTGAGTGTCTGTTCCCTGTACCCCTGCTGCCATAAAAACCCACTGACCTCTGATCTGGATCTGTACCAGACACTGCAGCTTCTCATCTCAATAGTCTTACACAGCACAAATCCAGATAATACAAATAACCCAGCAGGACGTTTGCATTTTTCAGATTCTAACCACATCACATAATCAGGAAAGCAGACCTCGGGAAATGTTATATCATATCATATAACAATTTAATATATGAAGGCAAGAGTCTCTATCCCTGGACCTGACATCTATCCAGTAGGTTTTACAGATCATCACAAGACACTTATTTTGAAAGATCAGGAACAATCAAACATGTGATTTGTTCAATTAAGCAAGTGAAACCCTTGTTTTCTAAATTCTAGAATGTGTATGTGCTCAAAGTAGAGGCTGCACAATTGCTAGAAGCCTCAGCTGATTCTAAAGCAAAGGCTGAGCCTTGGTGCTCATTCAGTATATTGCAGTAATCAATTCCCTGACTAAAGAAAACAAAATCTCTTGGGCCCATAAACAAAGGACATGCTCTTTTCATTTCATGTGTAGTCTACCAAACATGGTTGCAGTACCAGAAGCAGGAAAAGAATATTAACAGTTGTTCATTTTTTATGTCAGCTCACTTCTAAGGTGTGGTCATCTTTGAATAATCGTAATTAATAATTGTCACGGGGGCAGCAGTGTGGAGCAGTGGTCAGGGTTCTGGACTTGTAACTGGAAGGTAGTGGTTTTAAATTCCAGGTGAGACACTGCTGTGTACCCTTGAGCAAGGTACTTTATCCTAATCGCTTTAGTAAAATATCTTGTTGTATAAATGGGTGCAAATGTATGTCAAATCAAAGCCTCAGATAATAAATTAATCATTAATAGGTTTATCAAAATGAGTTAAGCTAAGATTCAGAGTTAAAAAGCAAAACACAAGAATACTTGCAGGTGGGAGTAATGATTCCTCTAGCTTGTGAGACCAGAATATTGCTCTAAGCCTGAGTTTGTGTTACAGCTCAGAAATATTTATGGCGATTTTTATATTCAGTATATTTGGAACCCAGTTCTCTCTTTACACAGTTAGACACAAAACTAATACATGACTATTAGGTCTTAATGGCTAATTACTAAATCAGAATTTAAAACTATTTCAGTTTTGCTTCACATCATGTGAAGGACTGTTTAAAGGATGTGTAATTTCCCATGTCCTAGAGTGAGTTTTATTTAGTCTGGCGATTGGTTACCTGTGTTGTTTACTTAAAATTGTGATTTTTTTAAGATCAGAAACAGCACAGAATGTTGTAATATGGAGTCTCTCATCATTGTCTCACACACACTCACACACACACACACACACACTAATAGTTTAGGTGTGAGTGCAAATGTGTTACATTTTTTTAGCTAAGATCCTAACAACACAAAGACTTTCAAATGGGTGGTGTGCTAGACCCAGACGATCATTCAGAATGCCATCTTGACACAATCTGTAGTGCACCCTAGCATTACTGATTAAACTATTTCATGTAATAGGCAAGACAGGATACAAAACCTGTATTCTACTGACAACACTACTAAAACCTCTAATGTGAGATAGGGGCTTAAATTAGTCTGAACAGGATTTTTCTTGTAACACTTCAGTTGTTGCAAATTCTATTGTTAAATTCTGTAAAATCCATAATGGAAGCAGATTATACTGTACATTAATATAGTGCTAATAACTTAATAGTAACTGATCCCTACCAAAGATTAATAATGTTTAATATCAAGATATTTAATATTTATGTATATAAACATTTAATTATTTATTTAATTATTTGATGACTTAGTTAATTACGTGTTCTGTATCTGTGAAGTGTCATTTGCCATGCCTAACTGTTACAAATGTTACTTTTAACTAGAGTACATATCCTTCAAAAACAGCTCCTGTGACTCATTTTTAAGGTCCAAAAAACTTAAACCCAGAGGTTTCTGTGGCAACAGGAGAGCAGATGATGCTTGTTCAGAAAACCTTGTATTATAAGTATGATTACTCATACAGTAAGTATAATACCTAGGAAAGAAAAGGAAACTTAACTTTGTTTTATGTGACTGGGCACTGGAGAATGTAAGGTCAGAAAGGTATTCTTTTGCCTAGGAAATCTCAGAACGTGAACGCATTGCTGTCTGTCCAGATGCCAACACATACTGTATTCAGTTTCTTCTAGTTTATGGGCATGCACAGTCATTAAAAGTAAAACTGTCATATAACTCAAACACACAGCATAGGACAAGCAATGGCAGTGAGCACTTGGGATTCTTCCAGCATTAAATCTTCACTGTTATTTTACTGCAGTTTTCACTCAAGGAGTGTAGCAAAATAACAACACAGGAAACAGTGAGTTAGAACAAGCTTCTGATAGTAATGTGTTTATGTTGATGCATCATTTAACCTCACAATATATCCTCCATGCAATGTGGGGAAGCAATGTAAAGTCAAACAGAATGTTAGAATAAATAATGAAGGGACAGAATTTAGATCAGTGAATGCTACTGTATGTCAATATGAACATTGTGCTAGTAAGATGTTGTTTAGAGTGATGTGTACAAGTTTGCTCACCACATTACAAGAAAGATAGTGCTGCTGAGAAGCTGAGCAATGCAAATGTCCCAGGGCTTACAGAAAAAGAATGCCCTACCCTTGCCAAATGCCAAAATAATATTTTTAGTCTTGAACAGAGGAAAGTATGAGGGGGCCTGTTTCAAGTATTCAAAGTCCTCAAAGTCATTGATGAAGTCAACCTCAATGACTTCATCTGACTCCACAGTGAAGTGTGAACCCATGTCAGGATTTCAGAAAGGGGTGAGTTGTTGGACCCCTGTGCGAAGCCATGAGGAAGGGAGTTCAAGCAAAAGTAAATCCAATATTCCAAATCCAAGTCAGGCAAGAGCGAAGCCAAAAGTAGGAGAACCAGGTCGGGTAGTCAAAGGAGTCAGGTCCAGAATAGTAGCAGGCGCACAAGAGAAAGCTGTGGAAAGCTTCTCAATAGTGAGCGTACAGTAGGTAAGCCGGTGAAGAGTGTTTAAATATTGAAGAGAGAGACGTGGTTGGATAATTAGTTCCTGGATGAGCGTGTGTGGAATTTAGCACGCGAGGGAATGCCAGGGCGCTTACGGGAGTCAGTATGACCCAGGGACACATTTGGAAATGAAAACTGTGAACAGTAGGCGCGTCTTTAAGCAAAGGAATATGGGAGTATGGATTTGACTGGATGGAATAAGGTATCCAGCCATGTTATTGAAACTGATGCCCTGGCATCCGTGCAGGACAAGACACTCCTCGGTTAGCCACCAAACAAGCTAGATAGGATAAAAACCTCCCGCTAGTCTGAATGCTTCCTTAAATAACCATAAAAAGAACTGTAAAAACCAAACGATACTGAAGGTAATCTGAGATGCTTACAAACATACAGTATGTCAACATTTGGGCATGTTTGATTCAAGGGGACCAAATGCAACACCACTTACACAATACTTTAATAATTAATTGTAGCCATATTACTGCCAACTCTTCATTACTATTTAAATCTTGCTGTAAGTATTGTTACACATGATAAGAAAAATCAACAATTTTTCACCTACTGTATAGGCTCGCCACTGAGATAATTACAACAATTCATATTAGACAGAAAGTTGATGAAGAGAAGTAGATCTATTACATTTAAATCACCTACAGTACTCAGACAATATTTTGTTATAAACAATTACTTTGTTATATAACAGTTTATTAATGTGTTGTTAAAATTTAGCACTTTATGAATAGGTGTATACAAAGGTGACACAGAGGTGCACAGTCAACTGGCAGTTTGTTGTCATAAAACGAGTCCTCAAAACATCCCTAATTTCTAGGTGAACTATGCAGTTCTAATCTAAAGAAAAACTAGAGATTCTATACTGGATAGTAGAAGGAAAGAGGACAAACTATTGTTTCACCAGGTGCGACATATCCAAATAGTTGTACAGAAAAAGATTTAAGAGATCTCTACCAAGCCTTACCAGCAGTGATTTTCTGTTCATTTTCCATTATACTTGAAAAGAATTCTGAATGATGAGCAAACGTTTTTTTGTGTGTGTGTGTGTGGGAGTCTTCCATAATTAAAGAAAACTCACATCAAAATCAGCTTTTATTTTCAGGAGGCCCCAGTTTTTTTCCACATTATTTCTGAAAATTAATACACACAAGCGTGTTGCTGTGTTTTAGAAAACTTTTTTTTTCTCAAATGTAAACAGTGTTATTGGATTATTACGACAAAACCAATAGATCGTTTAAGAGGAAAAGGGAAAAAAACACCAAACATGTTTTTTAAAAAAGACTAAAAGCAGATAGATTCCTTCCGCACAGCCTATTCAAGATTATTATTTAAACACCTGCCAACATTTTATAAAAGCAAACATAAGAGCTCTTGTAAGATAGACATTGCATTATTGCTGTACATTTTTATTATAAATGTTATTACATTAAGACACCGAGAATTTACAAGAAATTATTGCAGAGGTAGTTTTTGTGCTCCTTAGAAAGAGGAGCTTTTCAAATGTATAGCCTTCAAAGATTTAGTGTTTGGGGAACTGGATTTACATGGTCAAAAATCAGCATCAGTACAGCTGTTGTATGTCTTCATAAAATGATTTATTAATATAATTACTGTATATGATTCTGTATTTTCAATGTCCTGTAAACATCTCTTTGATAATTGATTATACCCTGTTTATTTCGGAAAACGCGTACTGAATGTTTGGTTGTATTACTCTATTGATTTAAACTAATTGTTTGAGTATTCTCTTTTATGTATAATTTCTGTTTGTATGAAAACATTTACAAAACGAGAATTTTTTTTCTATAAACTTCACATTTGAAACTAGTTTCTAGAAATGGTAATTTAGTTATTTTATACAATATATTGTGGAAGGGCATTGATATATAGTATAGTATTATTTTAAATTAGATGATTAGATTAATCTTCTTTATTTGTGTTGAATGATTAAATTAAATAGTTTTTAATACGAATCCACACACTTTTGAAAGCCAAATAGTAACATGTTAGCATAGAAGATATAATAATTGGATAGTCAGTGTTCGGTCTTTGATGCGGAAACGTCTCCTTCACACTAAATGCTTTACATACCACAATGTTCAGGAGTCTTTCCTTTTTTCAAAATATTTGAAAAAAGCTAAAACTACAATAGCAAGTTACCGTGGAACGAAAGATGTGGTTAAACTGGCTAAAGACCAGATCTTTTCTTGTACTCGAGTCAAGAATTGCAGCCCAAGAATGTAGATTGTTTGCGTGTAAATCGTAAGCTTTTTTTGAGGCTGATTGCGGTTTATTTTCTTAATTACTCTTATAAAGGGAGCAAGTGAGTGTGTAAAGGTGACTTAACCCCTGCCAGTGAAACCGCAGTCTGATTGTTGATTTGTAATATTTCATGTCCAGTCGTGGACTACTCACTTGATAACGGCAGATGAGATGAACGATTAGTCCTATGTTTATTAAAATAATAAACCGTTTCTTGGCAGCTCCGGGGGTTAGCGTACTGACACGTCAGTCTGTTCAACGCAACCAAGAGTGTGCAGGTATTTTTATTTGCTGAGCTCATTGTATGTTTATATAATGCAATTAGAATGTTAATTATATCGTATTGATTATTTAGTACAGTACATAAGTTCAGAAGAGGAGATAAAAATTGAAGTTCTGTGTCACAAACGTATACTTCACTAATGCCTGTCTCACCAGTTTTTCATATTATGTATGCGTTATTAATGTTTTATTTCCGACGAATTGCACATTCTTTTACAGGGTGTCGCGAGTGGGGACACAACGAAAGTCACCGTGCTGTGTTAAGCATGTCGAGGCGGAGAATTTAAATGACAGTGACCTCTGCTGGGGATACGTGGAAGTGCACTGAGGTGATGCGAAAGCACAGGAAATACACTGAATGCGCTTGGCTCCTATGAAGGTTTGCACCTTTTCGGTAATATGCCTGTTGTACATGGCGCTGAAGTTCACTTCCGCCGTGGCCATAATTCAGATAATCACTGACACCAGCCCTGTTCCTTGAAAGTTCCTGCCTAGTCCAGCTTGTAGGTTACTGGGATTTAAGGAGTATGAACACGTTATCAACTGATTAGGCAAGTAATCCTATTAGTAGCCCTGTTATGACGGCTCTGGTCTTTGAAGGCTGAAGGGTCTTCATATGTGTGCCAAGTTATCTCTAGATTGCTTCTAGACCTGGTTTAGTTCTTCTGTTTCTGCTTGTAAAGTGATTGATATTTAGGTTTAGAGGATCTAGATTTAGGTAGCACAACCAGATAGTCCTACAACCTGAAATAAGGTATCTTCAGCTGCCCTTCATTTCACATTACTGTGGTGTTACCACTACCTCTGTTTGTGGAGGAGAATCCCAGTCTTTAAAGTGATATATACTGTATAAAGGTCCAGGCAAGTTATAACTACTGTTTATCTTTAGATGGTCATACTTAGCTTTGCATTCATGCTTAAATTGTTTCATCGGCTTGATATAGTTTGTTTTGCTTTTTAATGGAACCATACCATGGTTTTCAAACCTTTTGGCATGATGTTGCTTTCAAGTATTTTTGTCTGTTCTGTTTTCATCATATGGTATCACAATAACTTTTTAATGAAATTTGAAATAATACAATGAATGCTCCACAGACAAGACCTGTAACAAAAAGAAAGAAGGGCTTGTTAATGTCAGTAGAGACCGAAAATATCTTGAAGGGTACAGGCGTCAGTGACGTCCAGATTTCTGCGGTACAGTGGCTGTGTATTTTGCAATTTAGATTTGCTCTGTCTTTCCACAGGCAAAGAGTCCTTGGTTTGCAAGAACTTATTTGCAGAGCACACAAGTCTGGGCAGTGGAGGCACAAAGAGCTTTTTATACAGCAGTGATTGCCTTAAACCTAACGGCACCACCTTGCACACTGCCAGTGAGATTATATTCCACGAACCTGCTGATGTAGGGCACTTTTACCCGAGGGAAAGTCCCAAAGGGAAAGTTTGAGGTCAGTCACTCAATTCCTGTGAAACAAGTGGACCAGTGTCCCCTATTCTCTTGGTGAAATTTAAGACATAAAAAAAATACAAAAATACACATGGCTTGGGACAAACAACATCAAAAACCTTGCCAATATAAACATCTTTTGCAGAAAAATATATCTTAAAGCTCCACAGGTTTTCAGGGGTGACTCCTTTTCAGTTGTCCTTGGATTTTGTAGAGTAGTTTTGGTTGGGGCCTTTTTCCTGCCTGCCCATGTTCATACAGGTAGAGCTTCGCCTCTGTGTGTGCTGAGAAGAGACAAGTACAGGTTAATTTATTTCCTGAAATGTTGTGCATTTTACTCTTTCTGCTTTTCCCTGTGACATTAACCTCTACTTGTGCGTATGCTTATATTTGATTATTTGGAAAACTATACACCTGCTCTAAATAATTATTGGATTGAGTGTGGTAAATGTTATCTCCTTTAAAAATTGTAACTCTTAAAACATTTCTGGTTGAATAAATACAATTTCTCATATAATGGTGAAGTCCTCTGTAGGATGTACCGAAATTGACTTTTAAATATTTAATACATTGATCATGGCGGATTTCTATCCCTGAGAGTGAATTTGTTTTCATACAGAATTCCTCTGTCCTAATCCCCTTTTAAAATGCCAGTTATTGAGGAATTGAAATTAAACTAACCAAACTGGCACAGGGAGAAACAAATCGTTTCTCTTGAGAGACTGTTTTAAAACGTTCGATGAACCTCAACCCTTTTATGGTATTGCAGTTTGAAAGTTGCATGTTTGTTTCAATGACAGTAAAATAACTTTGGTTTGGTTTCTAGAGTTTTCTGCCTTCTGTATTTGGCCTTTAAATCTTTTCAGATTAATTTTCTTTAAAGCACTGTGGATATATTATGTAGATTGCTTTCAATAAATGATGTACTTTACTTAGTATGCTACCTATTGTAACCTCCTGACAGTATTATTCTGTAGAGCTACATTTTTCACATTTTGAGAACATTGCCTTCCAGGCATTCTTGATGTTCTTGAACAACAGTACTTCCTGGCATGTTTCAGTCAATAGCTCTCAATGTACTCTTAGCTTTATGTACTGGATATGCAGTTATTCATTACCACCAGACATATGCTAAGCAGCCACCTAGAAACTGTAATAATTAACCACATTGTGTTTTACTGGTATTTGGATTACCCATGCAGTCTCTTTCAGAAATTAGAGATATTTATCCCTGTGCATTTAAAATAGGAAACATGTGCTTTAGCAGCTGGGCCCAACAGTGAAGGTCTGCCTCGGAGACTCCACACAAAATCTTCATTAGTTTCATATACAAAAGTAGATGTTTAAAGTAAAAGAGACACTTATTAACCGGGTATTGCATTACTCCTATTATTTTAATAGTTGAATTTCAAAGTTCACAAAAACAAAGCCCACAACTAAATGAAATAACAAAGACATTAGTGAGAGTCGTGTGCCCTAAAATAATATCTTTAAGTTCAGTGAGTCAAAGAACACCAAAAAGCCTATACAATGATCTGCAGAAAAGCTTAAACAATTTACTTTTCTGTGCCCCCTTCCTCTTGTAATATAAATGAGTAGAAACACATACTGTTCAGTTTTCTTATTCTTCATTGTAAAAGCACAGCAGTCTTGCTGAACGCTTGAGGGGCCTGATTTTTACTGGAGAGAACATGTTCAGAGACACATCAATGGGGAATAGGTTTGGTGCTTTGTCAAAGTTCATTTTTTAAGATTTAAAATTAACAATCATTTACAGGGTCATGATGTTAGTCATCTTTTAAGTCATTAATGTCTTTAATTAATTAAGATTAATTCAATTGTGTATTAACAACTCAAGTGCCACTTTGTTACCATAGTGATAATTGCAAAGTATGTTGTAACAATGGTGTAAAAATCTATTCTGAAAATGTTTCAAGAACAAACAAAATAAGAAGCATTGAGCTGCACGTCAAAGGTTTAGTCAGGTGAAGTCACAGATTTGTATTACTATTATCAAAATGTTGCCTCACTAAAAATCAAATTGTGTTTTATACATGTTAGATGTGCTTGTAGGCACCAAAAGGCCCCATGTAGCTCTGTTGGTAGAGCATGAGACTCATAATCTCAGGGTAGTGGGTTTGTGTCCCATGTCAGGTGCCAGGTCCTCCTTGTTGGAGGTTGGGCACAAGGCTAACAACCCTGTCCTGTAAAAAAAGTAATGTTATGGTATGAGCAACAGGATGCTGCTGCTCATACAGTACGTGCTAGAAGGCATAATGGGCAACCATCCATAGGCACCAACTCCATGAGTCTCAGGCTCACAGGAATGTAGCTTTGACACAAGGAAAATGTAGTAGATATCCAGTGCACAGGGAAGCAGGTACAATGTTCTAGTGAAATGTGTGCAGTACAATTCAACAGGTTTTACTTTATACACATGTAGGTGGTCTAGCACCTGTGACTTGCTTGACCCATAATTTATTATCTTCTTCATCTGGAACCCTGTACTGTACTTACCAATAAACTAAAAAGTGACAGTTACGAATATACTTGGTACTTGCAAAGAGTGGTGCCAAACTCCTCATTATTAGAGTCCCACTCTTGCATTGGCTCTTATTTTAATTAAGTTTTTGTTTTTTAATCTTCTGAATTTCTGGGAAGCAAATAGGTGGATGTTTAAATCGGAGTCATTGTCTATTTCTTTCCAAACCTGTGTGACCTGTGAATAATCTCAGCTGCTAAGCCTTTCAGAGCCATCTGGGTTTTCTGTTTCCTCAATGTATACAAGACAAGCAGTGGTTTGTAGCCTAAACAACTGTAAAGTGCATTCAAAACCAGGCAGTACATTTCAAGTTCTGCCAACTATGCAGCCAAACACATGTTTAAAGCATTGGCCCAGTGAAAAAAGAATTTCACCCTGAAATATGACAAGATAATCACAAAGCATCAAGCCATAAAGGAGAAAGTACACACTTTGAGTCGGTGCAACGAAAGTTTGGATTCCCGGTGGTTACTGTTTTGGCCCCAGAGTAAGGGTTAGGCATCAGGCCTCCACCTTAGTGATGCAAAAATAATTCAGTTCTTTAAGCCAACATTAAGAGCTCACTTCACCTTCACCAAAGTCAGTGATGTCTCCCGCTCTTCCCAGCATCAGCTGGTATCAGTTAATCTTTAGCAACCTCTGCTGAGATCTGGCCTGCAGCCACCCATGAGAACAACAGATAAAAGAATGAAGACAGCCACGGCCCAAGACACACACTGAGAACACAGAGTCCAAACATAGAAGAAACGAGAAAGAGGCTGACGGATCAGCATGCTTAGTGTATGTAAGAGTCATGCAGACATGTGTTTGACTTTGAGCACAAAGAGGAGGCTCTCTGGGGTGCCTAGAGACAAATTCCAAAAGAGATAATTAAATAAGCATTTTCACTTTTTGATAAAAAAAGAAGGAAAGAGCCTGGGACCTGGAAATGACTTCAGCAACAAAGACAAACATTAGAAACTCAAGAGAAGAGCAAAGTAATACAGTATGTTGTATTAGTTTCCTATCATCATTGCAGTAACTGCATAACTGATTGATATGTGCAGTACTGTATATGTGCAGATAATTTTCATTTAATTTTGTCTGCTTCAGCTGAAGTATTTGGAAAAGGCTTTTAATACTTTGTTCCATGTACAGCGAAAATACTTCAGTTCTCTGATAATCAGAGTGCAATATTGGAAAAGCAATGCAAAATGTGTAAAAGTTTTGTTATGTTATTTAATCTTTCTCATATATTCACTTCAAGTATGGTTTCTTCACCCGTTTGTCTTTGCCGACACACTAATTTAATAGTTAATTTATTTTCAATATTTAGGACTGTTTTTAATCTACTTTTATTCTTATCACTCACAGCTTCAAACAACTTGAAAGTTCCTTCTCAGTTTCTTTTTTC